CCCCAAAACCCCAAAACCCCAAAACCCCAAAACCCCAACTCAACCTCTAGTATAAAATTAGGCAGATTTAGAAAAATTAAAATGGCAGACATCGATATAGACGAAATCCAAAAAATTATCAGAAAAGAAGAGGAAGCCAAGGTAAGCTCATCCTCCTAATCTGTAGAATCCAAATCTTAAAAGCAAAAGAAAAACAGTGGCTCTAGGAGTCATGATCGAAGCAGCTCTGAGAGGAATAAGCACAAAAAGTATAAAGTGCATAAAATGAGAGGAGACTCTTTTGAAGAAGATGATTTTAAAAATAAAATCAAAAGGCAAGAAGAAGCCCTCCAGAGGCAAATCGAAGAGGCTAAGAAGCAAGCAGAAGAAGCTCAGAGAGAAGATTGTACAGTTCAATGAATCAGGGTTCACTTGAATACTACTGAAAGAGATATCTATAGCTTCTTTGTAAAAGCGAATGTGGGAAAGGTTAAAGATATAAGAGTAATTAAGGATACTAAGACAGGTAAATCCAAAGGAGTCGCTTACGTGGAATTTTATACTCCAGAATCTGTATTGCTTGCTATGGCTCTCACCAATCAGCCATTATTAGGCTTCCAATGATAATCCAAGCATCACAAGGTGAAATAAATAGACAAGCTCAAGCTACAAAATATAGACAAGAACAGCAGAAAAAGACAACTAAAAGACACGAAAATATGAAGATATACATTTATGGGCTAACCTCCGAAAATGATGTAAGACAAGTCTTTAGTCCATTTGGAGAGATCGAATTGATCGAGCTCCCAAGAGACCCATATTCTAGAAAAAGTAAGAAAGTTGCCTTCGTTACCTTCTGCAGAAGAAGAGACGCCAAAGCTGCCATCAAAGAAATGGACGGTTATAAAGCAAAAAGCACTAGACTCGAAGTCAGAGAAGCAAAAAAAAACGAGAGTGAGTATTACAGAGATATGGGCCCAGATCTTGATTTGGAAGAAAAAGGATTCACTATTGGCTCTGGTAGAAGTAGAGCAGCTCTTATTATAGAGTTGAACAGAGGAAAAGAGGAAACTAATGATCTTCTTGTCAAACAATCTGACTTGAATGCTGCTAGCAATTGTATCTTGCTCAATAACTTATTTGACCCAACATCTGTAGATCTAGAGAAAGAACTTCACTTCTATAGAGAAATTGAAGACCAAGTTCTTAATATATGCGAAGAAGTTGGAAAAGTTGACAAAGTATGGGTTGACATTAAATCCCAAGGAAATGTATGGGTTAAGTTCTCCAAAGACTCAATTAAAGGAGCACAAAAAGCTCAAGAAACGATGAACAATAGATTCTTTGATGAAAGAGAGATTAGAGCATCATTTATTCCTGAGAAAATATATAATGCTAAAGTTCCTGAGTAATTTCAATCATCTAAAAACTATGAGGGGTTTTGGGGTTTTGGGGTTTTGGGGTTTTGGGGTTTTGGGG